TGGATCATGACTAGGTTTGAATAGAAGTAGGATAACATTGAGAATGGTATGGACAATGAAAGGATAACTGATGACATGACATTCTAAGATGGAATAAAAAATGTTGATGTAGTGAGGTTGAGGGAATTTCATACATGATATTTTTTGATGTAGTGGAAGTTGATGGGAGTAGTGAGAGCATTGTTGTTTTGGGGGTTAAGCAATGTGCAGTAACCACTATTGTGCACTTCATGAACTATATAAGGACCCTCCCACTTCTCATTGAACTTGTGCGGTGGAGGAGCACCTCTCATCACGTGGTCAGCAGCGCGAAGCACCTGATCACCCGGCTCAAAGCTTCTCCTTCGAAGCATCTTGTCATATGCCCTGCTTATGCGCCTCTGGTATACCTGGAAGTTCTTCTTAGCCTTATCTCTCCTCCCCTCTAGTGCTTCCAACTCTACTCCCCTCATCTCATCATGGGTAAGCCCGGCATCGATAGCAAGTCTGGCAGAAGGCACAAGCAATTCAGATGGCACCACAGCCTCAGTTCCATACACCAATGAAAATGGAGTAGCGTTGGTAGGACTCCTCTTGGATGTTCTATATGCCCATAATGCTACCGGCAATGCATCGGGCCACAACTTAGGATCCTTATGAACCATCTTGCTCAATACCCTCAATAACGTCTTGTTGGTGGCCTCTGCTTGCCCATTGCCTTGTGGATAGTAGCGGGTGGATTTGACATGGTCAATATCGTATAAAGCTAATAACTTTCTCACATCTTTATTCACAAAGGGAGTGCCATTATCGGAAATGATACGTCTAGGAATCCCAAACCTACAAACCACATTCTCCTTAATGAAGCTGGCTACTGCTGGTCCTGTTGCTTTCTTCAAAGGCACTGCCTCTACCCACTTGGTAAAACACTCCGTCGCAGCAAGAATCCATATGTGCCCCTTAGCCGGCGGATTGATGGGGCCAATCAAATCAAATGCCCAAGTATGAAAAGGCCATGGAGTGGTCACACTATGTAGTTCCACTGCTGGGGCATGTTAGCGTTCCCATGAACCTGACATAGATGACACTTCCTCACATGGCTTGTGGCATCCGCCTCCATTGTGGGCCAGTAGTATCCAAGGTCAATAAGTTTCTTGTATAACTTCAAGCCTCCTTCATGTGCCCCACTAGTGCCCCCATGCGTTTCCTCCAATAAAGGTGTAACATCAGCAGGTGAGACACACTTCAGGGGAGTCCCAACAAATGACGTTCTGAATAACTCATTCCCCTTCATGAAAAACCTCTGCACCTTTCTCTTTAAGTTCCTTGCATCCTGGTGGTTAGTGGGCAGCACTCCATTTTTTAAATACTCTATGTACGGTCTACGCCAGTCTCCAACACTACCCACAAAGTGACAATCATTAACATCTGGGGGTTCTGAACACCTAGGGCAGGCATACTGGGCGTTTGCACAATCACTACTCATAGTCGGCCAATAATAACCAGCTCTCTGTATTCTACGATACAATGGAGGTCCCTCCATGCCACACCACTGCTTATGCGACGCACGTAGTCTCTCCTTTGCTTCCTCAGGTGAGATACACCTAGCTAGTATCCCATTAGGCCCTCTGTAATAGAGCGCCTCTTGTATCATGGCGTAATTTTTGAAGAAACGGAGATTGCTGGACTTGCGCTCTCTCAGCTGCTCAATAATAGGAGTACGCCAGTCTGTACCTTTTGACACTTCCCCAAGATAATACTCTGTCATTCCAGCAAGTGGACCAGGCACCGACCATCTCTGCACTAGTAATGATATCTCCCCCTTCTGTCCAGGTATGTGTATCTTCGATGCCAAAGTAGCAAGAGCATCTGCGTACCTGTTAGAGGACCTTGGGCTATGCTCACACCTAACTGATTGAAAGTGGTCTAACATCACACGAGTAAGCTCTCGGTAAGGGGCAAGTGTGGGCTCCTTCAGCGCAAATTCACCATTAGTTTGCTTCACCACAAGGTTGGAGTCTCCAATGATGCACAACTCAGTCACTCCAATAATTTTGGCTGTATTTAACCCTAAAACCAACGCCTCATACTCTGCCTGATTATTAGTGCATTGGAAGTCCAATTTGAAGGCCATGGATACCACTTCCTCATATGCACGCTCCGCCTCAGGTGAGACTAAAACAACTCCAGCACCCCCTCCAGTAGCAGTAGCTGAACCATCAAAGTACAAGGTCCATTCTCCCATTAGAGGCTGGTTACAACACACCTCCCCATCAATGTCTCCTGGCATGGAGTCTAGTGTGACCACCTCCTCAGCTTGTGTAGGAAAATATGCCAATAGGTCAGATAGTGCTTGAGACTTGATCGCTTTGGGTTGCGCCACAGATAAATCAAATTGCCCCAACAAGAGTAACCACTTTGCAGCTCTTCCAGCTAGGATTGGCCTGGAGAGGATATATCTGATTGGGTCTGACTTAGTCACCACAGTCACCTTATGAGCCAGGAGGTAGTGTCGTAGCTTCTGGGTGGCAAAGACCAAGGAGAGGCAGTGCTTCTCTATGGGTGAGTAGTTGAGTTCACTCCCGTGGAGACACCTGCTCAGATAATATACAGGTCGTTCCACTCCTTCCACTTCCTGTACAAGTAGACCACCTATAGACTCATTAGTTGATGTTAAATAAAGCATCATAGGCTGACCTTTTATTGGTGGCGTCATGGTGAGTGGGGAAGCTAACACTTCCTTAACTCTTTCGAGAGACTTCTGCTGTGGCTCACCCCAGATAAAAGGAACACCTTTCTTGAGAAGGCTTTGAAAGGGAGCTACAATATCTCCTAAGGCTGGAATGAACCTCCTTATATACGACAGCTTACCCATCAAGCTCTTCAACTGCTTCTGATTAACAGGGGGTGCCAGCTCTCTAATAGCTGCAACTTTTGCTGGATCAACATCAATGCCCTTCCTGTGCACCATGAATCCTAAGAACTTCCCCGATGTCACTCCAAATGCACATTTCAAAGGGTTCATGCGTAACTTATACTTTCTGCACCTTTCAAAGACCCTCCTCAAGTCACTAAAATGATCAGACACCCTCTTAGACTTCACAACTATGTCATCCACATAATCCTCAATACACACATGCATCATATCATGGAATATAGCTGTCATTGCTCGTTGGTAGGTCGCACCTGCATTCTTCAACCCAAACGGCATCACAGTATAATAAAAGTTTCCAATGGGTGTTCTAAAGGCAGTCTTCTCCGCATCCTCCTTACACATCTTGATTTGGTTGTACCCACTAAAACCATCCATAAATGAGAACATCTCATGACCTACTGTAGCATCTACAAGTGTATCTATGTTGGGGAGTGGGAAATCATCCTTAGGACATGCTCTATTCAAGTCCCTAAAGTCCACACACACCCTGATTGACCCATTCTTCTTCTTTACTGGCACCACATTTGCAAGCCAAGTAGGATGGTGGATAGGCTTAATAAAACCCACACGAAGCAACTTATCTATTTCCCCTTTGATTTGAAGTTCAATCTCAGGCCTAAAAACCCTCGCAGACTGCTTTACTGGTTTGCTACTGGGGGAGATATATAGCTCATGAGTAACCAAGTTGTCATCTAAACCAGGCATTTGTTCATAGGACCAGGCAAACACATCTTCATACTCCTTCAGTAGAGCAACAAGTGTATCTCTTTGCTCCCCAGTAACGCTCTTGCTTATAAACAATGGCTTACTTGTACCCCTTCCATGGCCAATTTTATCTCCTCTAACTCATCCCCTTGTGGCTTAGGCTTATCTTGGAACGTCTCCGGGGCAGGAGCCAATTCTCCAACTACTGCTTCCGTCTCTACTTGCATACAAGTTACGTCTCCCTCAGGAGACTCTATCCTAGGGTGGAGGGGAGGAGTTCCCTCACACCCCGCGTCCCTTCATAAATAATAAACAATTTTTCCATCAGACCTGGTGCGAGAAGTCACACCCTTAGTCTGCTTAACCATCTCACTTCCCCCTGTACGTCCACGCTTCCTTCTTCCTCCTCTCCTAGTACGCTTGAAGCTAGGCTCACCACCTGCCTTGCCCTCTTCGGCATACTCCTCCCAACGTGGTAGCCTTAGCCCCATAGGTCTAGAGAGTACTCCCTCACCTTCCTCTGCTACTTCATCAAAAAAAGCAGCCTCAGCATATCTCACCTCATATTTCTCAAAGGGAGCCTTGGTAGCTGGAATGAAGACCTCCTTGCCCTGCCAGAACCCCTTAATGCACTGATGCATGTTGGAACCAATCAAGTAGTGATTGTTTAACCATTTCCTTCCCAACAAAACGTGATATGCCACATCCGCATCAATCACATGGAAAATAACCTGCTCCTGAATATTACCGAGCTTGAAATTAACTGTAGTATACCCCAAGGTGCGAACCTCCTGGTTACTGAAGGAGTTAAGTGTCATGGGGTGGCGTAGGCTTTTGATATCAATTTCAAGGGCATACATCGTAGAAAGAGGCATGAGATTCACTCCTGACCCATCGTCAACAAAAGTTCTCCTCACCTTCACACCATTGATAATACTCTCCATGTAGAGAGGTTTGTTATGATTGGGGTTTGGTGTGCACATATCTGCCTCAGTAAATACAATGGTATTTCTATAAGCACGACTCATCCTTTTCATACTTGAGTCTACCAGACCACCCTCACCATGGTACTTATCAGCTATATGAACCAGCGCCTCAGCTGCCTCCTTCCTTGTATCCTCAGAGAATCCCAGCTGATCAAAGAAATTTCTCACATTCGGAGTCTTTAGCAATGAAGTTGCTATGGTTGTAGTCACATAAACGGCGACACGCGTATCATCCTCCTCTTCGGTGTGCGGCTCATCATGGACTGAGTGTATGACTGCAGCAACATCACCCCCCATGTACAGGTAGAGGGTTGTTTCTGACTCCCCTGTTGTCAACTACAACTTCCCCATTTCTCACTTTCCTATCCAAGAGCCTCCTCATATTTCTGCATTCAGCAAACGAATGATTCACTCTGCGATGGTAGTCACAGTACTTCAGATCTGCTTTTTCTTGAGCGATTGGCATTTGTGGCACAAAGGGCAGATTAACTTGCCCATCTGCTATCCATTGTTGCAGGAGAGCACGCACTTGATCCACAGGCACAGGGAAAGGTGGTGCGTCATCTCTGCGATTGTCTCCACCTTGGAAGTCCCTCTTGGGACGCTTCCGTTCCTTCCTATCTCCATACTGAACCGCATGCACTGTTGAGGAATTCTTTCTATACCTCTGTTGCGCCTCCCTTTGTCTCGTCACCGTATTGTTGGTCCTTCTTGCAGCTTCTACTAACACAGCAAACGTATGCAAGCTCAAATTCTCTAGGTGAACCCTATATTCATCAAACATCCCTTGGAGACACACTTTCACCAGCTCCTTCTCATCATGTTGCTCATGAATATCCAACACTCTCTCCCTAAAACGCTGGATGTAGTCCATGAGGTCCTCTCCACGCCTTTGATGTTCTCTCCCTAAGTCAATCAACGTTACTCTCTCCTGTGTGGACAAGAATTTCTCCCCAAAGAGGGTGCACATGTGGCTCCAAGACTCAACAGACCCTGGGGTGAGATTCACATACCAGGTGTAAGCCTTCCCTGTCAAAGACTTAGAAAATTCCTTCAATTTCAAATCATCATCCAAACCAGCAACTCCCAATGTCTCCACAAACTTCATGACATGCTCCTTGGCATCCCCAGACTTCCCATCAAACTGCTTGAACTTTGGACTAACATAGTCCTTAGGGTATGGTTTCATTGCCACCCTTTTAGAGTAAGGGAGCTTCAAGTCAAACTCAGAGCTGGCGACATTCTTTTTCTGGAAAATCTTCTCAAGTTGCTCCTTGGTAACATACTCAGTATCATTATCCACCAGTATGGGAGTCGAGTTAAAGGGTGGTGGAGGTGGGGGCGTTTCTTTGGGAGTGCCTTCAGCGCCACGTCCACCATTGCTCGCCTCTGACAGGTCTCCCCCATTAACAGCGATGGGATTTTCAGTGTTCTTACCATTACTTCCATTTACTGCTCGAGTCAACTGCACTATACGTTCCTCCATAGCAGCATTAGACTTCTCCATAAAAGCTATTCTCTCACTCGCTTTCTGATCGTTGGACTTAATCAGCTCCATAAGCTCCAGAAAGTAACGAGGAGGCGCGGCATCATTACTGTCATCACTCATGGCTGCTCAGCGGTGCTTTCTGCCGTAAAATTTACCTTTTGTGATCGTTCCTCCCCAGTGGAGTCGCCAAAATGTAAACAAGAGTTCTTAGATGTAGAGTGAGGCAACGTCACAAACAGATAAGGATCCACAGGAGGTGGCAGGGAGGAAGGCCGGAGCAGTTCCTTGATGATGAGGTTAACAAAATTTCATAAGAAGGTTAAAGAAATTTATAAAAAGGTTCTCGAAATTCCATAATATCATTATTAAAATTTCATAGGAAAATTATCAAAATTTCATAATGGGATCATAAAAATAGTGTAATTATCATAATTTAATTGAGATGTTATCATAATTTCATATGAATATTTCATTTAAACACATTGAGCCACGTACGCACGTGAAAGCTAAAAGTAATATTTTTTAAATACATGTGAAGCCAACTTTGTATTAGTTGGAATAAGTTAAGGATTGAGCCAAATCTATTGGTTGTGGGCTTAATTTAGCCTATTGGACTAATATGATTATAAAGATTATTTTATAATAATCTTTGACATGGACACTTGGGCACTTGGGGCTTGGGCTTCTTTGACTTAGAAATTATTTTTTCAAGATTTAGATTAATTTTTTGATCTAATCCGAATTGGTTATTCGTTGAACAAATATTTAGTTCAATGAATTAGTTTTTGGGTTCATGAATTAGTTAATTACATGCATTTGAAATATTCATGAACATGTATCTACATGAACCTATATTAATTAGGTACATTAAGATAAGATAAACATGTATTTGGAATGCCTATATAAATCACTTGTCATATATCATTTTTTACAATTCTAATCAGAGAGTTTGTGGCTTTGTTGTATCCTAAAGGGCATAAACCCTTTAAGAAAGTGATTGAAACCGCGACTCAAAGCCGTTCCCCATTACAATTTTCCTAACAAGAAACGCATATATATTGATTAGTGAGTAAAAAACATGGGTGCATGGTTTTGATCTAATAAAGAATTTGGATATGTTCAACAAAAAAAATGGATATGATTAGAGTGATATTTCCATAAAGGGTTAATGACAATTGCTTGTCATATCCTAATACTATGTAACTTGCATTAGGAAATGATAAAAATGATTAGATTTATTTACATGATCGGATATAATAAACTGTCAAAATTCTGTATCTATCATTATTCATATTTTTTTTCGTAAGTGAATATAACTCATCTGATCTCAAAAAAAGAATATAACTCATCTTGTGTAGAGGGTTTTCGAAGGGTGAGGACCTATAACTATAGCTTCCTGGTTACTATCAAGTTCGAATTCTTTTTTTTTGTTTTTTGGCAAATCAGGTTCGAATTCAAATCATGTGTAGAAATTCCCCCTTTTTCATCAAAAATAAATAAATAAATAAATAAAATTCCCAATGTTTTGTTAGAATTGTTTTATTGATTTTTTAGTTTAAACTACAGATCCATATTTGCTTAAGCAGAACAACTGTCGAACGAATTGAATCAAAATTTAAATTTTTATTGATTTTGAAATGCAGAATACGTTTCTCCTTTTGAATGAAGACTTTGGTAAGACTTAAAGTGGTTAATTAAGTAGCCGCCGGACAGCAACCCAATTGTTCATGAATTTATTTGAAAGCTTTAGAGCAACTCCAACGTAGCAGCATATCATTGTTTTGCTGTGAAAAACCCAAAAATTCATCTCCAAAGAAGACGGCAATTTTGGGTTTTCGAGGTGCACCAAAATGGTGCATAAACAGCACATCGGCATATTTGTCGTTGCACGGTTCATCAATGGCAAATTTGTTGGGTTTTTTTTTCACCAAAAAAATTGTTTTTTTATTATTATTTTAAACAATATCATTAATAACACATATGTCCTTTTAGTATTTCACAATTTATATTTTGATTTAGATTTACATTTACATATTAAATAATTACAAAAAAATTATATCTTTAGAAAGAGTTAATTGAGATCTTTAAAACAAGACCAATATTGAATTTTTTTTATAATTTTTTTAATAATTATTTCTAAGATAGAATAATATAGAATAAAATAATATTTAACACCAATTTGGTGTTGAGTACATTGGAGAGTAAAAATTTTGATGTAAAAAATATTCTAAAAAGATGTCTTTTTGCCACCAAAATGTTGCAATTTTTGGTGCTAATTGCTAAACATTGGAAATGCCCTTAGACAGTTGAAAATCTCTGTTTTCGGCTAGCAAAGTCACAAGTTTAAACGACCATCACCCATACAATTCCATAGCCTTTTTGTAATGCCATATTCTTGGGGTTGAATTTGAATCGCAAAGGAGAATTGGACAAGGGCAAAATCGAACTCAATGGACACAATCTCCCCTTCTATGACTACGAGACATTGTCAAGTTTTTAAGTTCAATGACTGGTGGAAGTTATAATAAGAAAAAATGAAAATTCCTGTAAAGAATTTCCTGTATCACAGACCAATTTAGGCCCTTTTGTACATGACAAAACTATTTACATAGCAGTAATTTAGCTATTAATGCCTACCAACAGCCAACTTCTCCCAAATCCTTTCCAGGATAACCAACTGTCGGCTCTATGGCTTGGATGAAGGTATGGGAAATTTACACTAACTTTTTGATCTATAACCTTTTGTTCGAAGTAAGGCTACATTCGTTAAAGAGATTACAAGATGTCGTCCATAGCTCATTTGCAAGTTTGGTGTTTTGTGAAAGCAGTGAAGAGTTGACAACCCTACCTTTTCCACCAAAAAATAATAGGCCAGATGCTTCCTGAAAAAAACACAAGAGCTCATGAGTTCAAACTCAACCTATTCATTTAAATCACCTGCTTTTATTTGTTTCTTTTTCTTCAACAAAAAGCATTTTACTTTTACCAAACAAGAATGAAGCTTCATTGTTGCAAACTTCAGCATGGGGTTCGTAATATATAAGTAATCTATCCATTAGTGACCAGTAATCTGTTATTTTGTAGTACAACTTACTGGTGGGGCAAGGGCTGCATCAAGAATAGAGTTGACACCATCCATAGGTGACTGCAGAAGGCCCAAAAGCTTGAAAGTATTAATCGCCAAATGTGAAAGACAAGTAGGCACTTCCCTCATGATATTGGTTTTTACTACTCCAGGATCAGCAGCACTTCAAAAGCAAAGCAAACCAGATTAATTACATAAGATTAAGTGAAGTAGAAGCATGCTAATATGAATCCTTTTCTAGGGCGACACCTATTTTAAATGTTGTCACATAACCAAAAGACATTGACTCCCATCAAAAACAAATGGAAAGTTACAAATGCATGATCTAGATAAAAAGTTTTACAAAGAATCAAACACATACATTACAGAGGCATGAGAACATTTGTCCATCAAGCCAAGTTGTCGGTGGAGCTCATATGTGAAGAGAAGCAGGTACGCTGTTGAAAGAGCATGACATGTCATTGTTAAGAATGGAGATGAAAGGCATTGCAATAATATTCTATGATGCCTGACTTACATTTAGAATATTCATAGATATGAGCAAATGGATACCGTTCTGATATCAAGAAACGTGTCCCAGAAACAGATTCCTTGTCAACCTGTACATCAAAAACTGAATTCGAGTGCAGTAATGCAGTTATCTATGGAATACATCCATTAAGATTTCATAGGAAAAATGCAATCACAATCTTCCCAATTTAACTAAAAATGAATGGTAAAATGCAAATCTTCCGCTCTTAACAAAAATGGCTGCTAAAGGTGCATATTGTATTCATAGTGGCAGTAACTATTTTCCCCCTAAAATAAGGGCCACCTTCAAGGGGAAATTTATCAAGTTTTTACCACTGCAATAACACCATGTGTTGGTCATATACCGAAAAATAACATCAAACAAGTAGGCTTTGCATACATATTCATAACAAAGATTTCGGAAAAAGGTTTCTTCCTTTTCCTATTTTTGAGACGTATGCCAAAATAATCTTTCATACAAAAGATCTAGAAATAAACTCACCACTACGATGGGTAAAGGATGTCACATGTACTATCCGAGAAGGAATGGGGCTTCTTTTAAGAAGAGGAAGTAGAGATTTACTTAGACAAAATGCCCCTATGTAATTTGTACCCATCATCCTGAGAAACATATATAAACTTGTAAAGAAGTAATCAATGTTTTTGTATGTGAGGACAATAAGGGACATAGTAGGGAAGCACAGAGAAGCAGAGGACAGGAGACAGATTGTTGAAGTCAATCGCATATTTTAGCAGATTTTCTTTCCACAAGAGAAAATCAGCATGGTAAATTAAATAACAGTACAAAATCAACAGTTTATTAATGTTAGTCGGCAATAGAAAGTAGTACTAGGTTTTAGGTTAAGTCATATTTTACTCAAAGAAATGAGGCATATTGAACCTTTTGCATCTGGCCAAAAAAAAACCTTGCAACTTGGCAGATAAGTATACACATTCCCTATCTGGAAAAGAATGCTATAGTACCAAAGATAGAGCGGGTAATTACTGATCATAGCCTTCAGGTGTTAGTCGTGATGATGTTGCCAGTATCCCAGCATTATTAATCAAGAGCTGGATAGAAGAATGCATTTTGCAATCCAAAAGCCACTGCTGAAGTAAGCCTTTGAACTCCAAAATTGATTGGAATGATGACAGGTCAACCTGAAAAGCTCTTACACGAGCATCCTTATTTTTGGATTTTATGTCTGTCATAATCTACAAACAACCACAGTTAAAAATTGTCGAAAGAGTAGTAATAACGTGAGAAGCCACAAAAGACAATAAACTTACAACGAATAAACATGTACCTCTAGCAACAAGTGGGATGATCGTCCAACTGTAGAAACAAACATAAATGTCAGCCAAGTTATAACCCATTGCAAACACAGAAAGAACAGAGCAGTCAGTAGAAAGTTAATCAGCAAAGACAACAAGCAAATCCCAGAATACAGGAAATGATTATAACAAGGTGCACCCAATTACAACAGAAATGTTAGTAATTAGATAGTTGTGGTGGGCAAAATAC